AGAGAGAGAGAGAGAGAGAGAGAGAGAGAGAGAGAGAGAGAGAGAGAGAGAGAGAGAGAGAGAGAGAGAGAGAGAGAGAGAGAGAGAGAGAGAGAGATTAATGGAAATTATCACACAAATATTATGCATAATTAGATTTTGTATAAACTAATAAAACTTATGTCACAATCCTTCCTCAATACATTTATCAGTGTATAGGGGGGAGACAATTACATACGTCTTTAGTCTGAGAATTCACATCTTTCCACTACATGTGCTTCCGGTAATAGCTCTCAACGTACTTTACTTTTAGAGAGAGAAAGACTGAGAAAGACAGAGAGAAAAACTGAGAAAGACAGAGAGAAAGACTGAGAAAGACAGAGAGAAAGACTGAGAAAGACAGAGAGAAAGACTGAGAAAGACAGAGAGAAAGACTGAGAAAGAAAGAGAGAAAGAATGAGAAAGACAGAGAGAAAGACTGAGGAAGAACAAGAGAAAGAATGAGAAAGACAGAGAGAAAGACTGAGAAAGACAGAGAGAAAGACTAAGAAAGAAAGAGAGAAAGACTGAGAAAGACAGAGAGAAAGACTGAGAAAGAAAGAGAGAAAGAATGAGAAAGACAGATAGAAAGACTGAGAAAGAACGAGAGAAAGAATGAGAAAGACAGAGAGAAATACTAAGCAAGCATGAAAGAAAGAAAGAGAGAAAACAGGAAAACTAGGGAATTAGGGGTAAGGAAAGACCCTTAATCCATGTGCTTATCAGTTAATTATGTACAGAGCTTGTGTTAGTCACTAATTTTGCAAAGGTATTTTGTTCCAGTGTGGGGGATACCAATAGACGATGTAATACACGTAAATAGAAAACATTTAGGCCGAAAGCTTACATTTAATCTCGACCTCTTTGCTCCCACACAAGAGAAGAGAGAGAGAGAGATAAATTTTGGCATCTTTCATGTGCTATTCCCCTTTTTTTTTTGCTATTTTTACTTTCCTTATACCGTTCTTTGATTTCTTTTTCAAATGTAGGCAAAAGAAAGCTTTCTAGTTGACTAAGATTTTTTCATAATGGCGTTAGTCCTTTAAAGAAAAAGAAGGCAAGAAAAAATACTACACAGACTGCACATACATCTGTAACGTATAATGACTTGCCTTACAAGTTTTGCCCTTCTTGGCCACTCGAAATAGTTTCACCATTTATCCATTTCTTTTTTAATATCATAATCACAAAATCTCCCTCTTCTTTATTTAAAACCTTCAGCGATCGTGAATTCCCTCTACATCTTCGAAATGATGGTTCTTGGGAGTTACACTTACTGGCAATACCACAGCCACGAGTTCCTGAAACCCAACCCCGCAGACGTCGAGGACCTATACAAGGCCGAAGAAGACACCTCCAGCGTCACCACAGCCATTACCATCGTCGGTGATACTGAAGGCGGAACCTCACGCCCACAACAGCGCCACCAGTCCTCACAGATCACCGTGACGCCACAGATAGAAAACCCATTAGTAGATGAAATTCAAGGGCCACAGTATGGGGCTGTGGCGGCTGTCACTCAGCAACCCGAGTCTTTAAATGGTGGCCCGTAGGTCTCCTTTCTAGCGTGCAGTTATTGGAAGCTTTAGGAAAAGGTACATTCAGAGAACTGCCTGCACACAAAATTCCACAGATTCTCTTGTACGGTTATTTTCATTATACTTATTATTATTATTATTATTATTGTTATCATTGCTATTACTGTTATTGTCATTATTACTATTGTCACTTCTACTGCTACTACGATTATGTTTATTATCATTATTGTTATTATTATTATTTTTATTATTGTTATTATTTTATTCTTGTCAACGTTATTATTGTTGTTATTATTAATATTAGCGTTATCATTATATCAATAAGAGTGATGACAATAATTAGTAATAATGATTATCATTATTATGAATGTTTTTAGCATCATACCATTGAAGGAAAGGGTATGTTTATTGCTAATAATGATGATAATAACAGTAATAATAATGATGACTATTATTCCTAATAATTGCCGTTACTGTTATTGATATCGTTAGTATAATAGTAATGACATTTATTTATTTATTGAAAAATTTCCTGCCGCGTTAATATATAAGCTCATTAGAGGCATATTCAAAACATGGTGATAGGGTGGGGCTTGAAGGCGAAGCCCCCAGGTAAGATTTTTTTTGGTTCACAAGGTAATGATTTTGGATTTCCGAATAGTCGGTGGTCAAAACAAGCAAATGTGCCAGACATCAAAGGTCACACAGCTTTATGACAAAGTATTGTGGTGAAAAGGGTAAAAATCAATTAACTATTGGGACTATGCAAAATTAGTTGAGGCGAGGGCTGAGGTCCAAAGTCAAGGCAGATTCGCTACATTAGAGTAGATTCCCTACATTGTGCCTGAGTCTCCGCCTCCTAAGACCCCCACGGCAACAGCGAGCAAGGGTTTGGAGGGTAAAAGGAATAAAGAATTCTTAATTAAACTCTGACAAATACAGAATTCCTGTTTCATTCACCTTTTCCTTCTGTTACATCGCCACTATTCTCTTCCACTTCTCATTATCTTTATTTATTTATTGCAGAAAAGAGAAAGGGAAACTAGAGCAAAGCGAAATAGATTTATGAAATCTTTCAAGTAGATAAATAGTGGTCGGGAAATCAGTCATACATGTATAAATACGCACATATACACATGCGTATACACACATGCACAATTAAAGACATTTTTATGTATATTGCTATATATAGTAATCCATGTTATGACTTAATGTACGGAGCAAAACAAACCTCTCCGAAGACTGAGGCCAACATGGAACACCAGTTCAGCCTATTACCCTATGACACACACACACACACACACACACACACACACACATATATATATAATGAAAAAGCTGTGATCGTCTTGGCTCTTCTGCCTCACCCCCGGGGCGGGTTTTGCTTCCTACACTATTTCCCAAGGAAGCATTTGTCCGGAACACTTTCCTTATTTATTCATGTAAATACATGCACATGCGCATAATTGGATACGCACATATTTTAAAACTTTTCGGTATTTGGGGGAAGAGACAGAGTTCAATATTCTTATTGTGTTTATAAAAGACGTTTCTTCTATGTATTTTCTCATTTATTATTTATCTTTCTTTATTAACAGAGGATATAAAAGGGTAACAAAAGTATTATATCAAGGACTACCATAATTTACATAATTTTTTATTTATGAACTTAGGTTTAAATTTACAAAAAGAGGCAATATACAATCCTTCCACATCACATATGGCAACTGCTGTACTGTAATATCATGGTTTACTTTCTGAAATTTGATTTCAGTCAGTTTTACAAAAAAGGGTACAAAAATGAAGTTTGATTCCTCTACACCTTTGTATATGCGAATGATCCGGCATGGTACGTTAATGACAGACACGGTGACAGTGAACGCTGACAAGTCAAACATACATTGAAATAAGCACTGACAATGTTATTTCGTGTTTATACTTGATATGTCCCGTATTATTCTCTCTGCAGTACTGCTTTACACCATGGCAGTTGACATTTCTTGCCACTAGCATTTCGCACACACCATACCAGGCAAGAAGGCTGTGGCCAGGTGCTTTGTACTTTTTGTACTTGATTCACTATTCCGTACAGGTGTGAATACGCAGATTCCTTTATAATCTATCAGATAATTACACAAATTAAGTATATAATTAGACAACATCCAATTTCAAAATGGCTAAATTATGAATCTCAGAGGTTTTCGTCATGTAAAGCGACGGAAGAAAAATCTTGTCAGTCATTCATAACCGATTTCCACATCATTTTTTTTCTTTTTCTATTTTAGGCAACGCGTAATTACACACCTATAACTGGCCAGAAGCAGATTTCTTTTTCTCATATTTAATCAACATTTAGACCAAATTTTCTCTTATTCTATGACTATACCCATCCGTAGTCCTAGGCTGTTCCGTCACACACGTACTACTTCGCGATTGCGTCTGAGGCAACACGATAGCCGACAAATCAACGTAAGCCGAGTGGTCCTTGTGGGGTTCTTGAAGGTCCCTCAGAGGTCCTCCTCCGACAGCAGGACCCTCAGCCTGGAACGACTTCGAGATGGTGCTGACGGCGACCTCCTTCGGGGAGTCTCTCGCGCAGAATTGTCTGGGCTCCTTCGGGTTAGCGGTCATGAAGGCTTCGTTGTGGTACTGCCAGTAGGTGTAGGGGCCGAGGATCAGCATCTCGACCAGGTAAATGCAGTTTTCGACGGCTGGGGGGGGGGCGAGGATGTCGGTTAGAGAGTTGTGGTTTTATTTTGTTATCATTAATATAAATTCACACACATTATAAACAATATCTATTTCTAACTCTGTTTCTTTCTGTTTTTTTTTTCTCTCTCTCTCTCTCTCTATATGTGTGTGTGTGTGTGCGTGCGTATATTTGTGTGTATGCACACACACACACACACACACACACACACACACACACACACACACACATATATATATATATAATGAAAAAGCCGTAATCCAGAAATATACTCATTAGAAGTAAAGATATATTAACATGAACCAATATATATATATATAACATACATTTAAAGAGACGAGAAAAACAAGTTATCTAGGAACAGTTAATTGTGGAACTACAGACTCGCTTCGTTCGTTTGGAATCATAAAAAAAACATTTGAAAAGACAAGAGAACTATGTATATGCCATTAAATGAGGTACTAATGACTCATTTACATCCAGTATATTTATGACTGGAAATATTCCATCTAACGAAGAGCGTCAAAACCACAATTTAATTTCACTATGTTTAGCCAAGACGACTGACGATAAACCAGAGGGATTAAATAAAGAAATCTATACCTACAACAAAATATCTAGAAAACCAGTCAACTTAAGGCATTATCTTTAGTGGTTTTAGAAACCGAGCTGATCCCTGACTTACTTTGCTTGTAGACGCGCGGGGAGATGTAAGGACCAATACAAGGGAAGGCGTTGTAGGTCGCCATGATGTCGAAGATGAAGCTCTGCATCTTTGTGACGAGGACGAGTGTCTTTACCGAAAACGCCTTTCGCTGCCAAATGAGAGAGATTGCTGATCTTTTTACATTGCAACTTTATCAATATTATTATTTAAAAGTGATAAATGTTTTCCACGAGGTTTGAGAAAGCGTTTTCAAAGTAGATAGCCGTTTTGTGTGAAAAAAATCCAAACTAGCCATCATTATCTTTTAGCATGAATAAAGACCTAAACAAAAACAAAAATCAGACCACTAAAATAACCGATTAAACAACAAAATAAAGGCAAAGCACGACGTAAAATCATGACTTACGTTGTAGTTGTAGTCTTCAAGAGGTACTGTTCCTGCTGCTGCCATGATCTGAAGGGCATAAACTCCACTTATAAACGAGGTGAAGTTAAGGGTGTTTAGCCACAGGTAGTTTTCGTTGGGATCGACCTGTTCCCAAGTAAAGATAGGGGAAAAAACATTAGGGATGTTGAGTTTCACGGTAATGATATTCGTATTAAGTTTGAGTGTTACGGTATGGTGAAATATTTACTTGGATGAAGGGGTAAGGAGGGAGGGAAGAAGAGGGAGAGGGAGGGGGAAGGGGAGAGAGGGAGGGAAGGAAAGGAAGAGGGAGAGGGAGGAAGGGAGAGAGAAAACAAGAGACAGGCGCGTGCGCACACACATACAGATATATAGATACAGAGAGAAAGAGAGAAGAGGGAGAGGGAAGAGAGAGAGAAAAGAGAGGAGAGAGAAAGAACGAAAAGTAAGGGGAGAGAGCGAACGATAGACGGGAAGAAAGAGAACGAAAACCAGGGAGAGAGAGCAAACGAAAGACAAAGGCAGACAGAAAAAGACCTAAAGAAACAAACAAGAGAAAAAAAATGAAGCTAAACGAAAGAAAATACAAGAAGCAACTGCAGCCTTGCGTTCCGTTTGGCACTCCGCAGCGCTATATAACGCACAATTTCAAAGGAACGGCCTGTAACGCAGTGACTTGTGTTCTTCATGTGGCGTACAAATGCTACAATCTCGAGAGGTAGCACGCCTAGCAGACAACGCGTACATTGTTTACAAAGAGATAATGAATGTCAAAGAATATGTTTCTGTGGATTTGCTATATGAACTTTCACGATCTTGACTTGCATTGCATAACATATTAAAATAAGCCTAGAATGTTAAATGTGAATAAACAGGGGAGCATGATTCTTGATTCTTAAGCCTAATTGCTGGACTTTTAATAGAAAATTAGCTATATAAAGGTAAATATATGACTGTCTTGAATAATAGAACATGAAAGGTCAGAGTAAATGTGTCTACTAAACACTGAAAACACGTGTGGGTCAATGTTTACACTTGAATGTCACCGTTATGCTTCAAACCGTTCCGTTCGAACGTATTTTTTTGAAGTGCAAGAGCATTCAGTCTTTTCCAACGGAACGCAGGGCAGATTGCAAAAGAAATAATCTCAACTCACAGTGCCATCGGATTCACTTTCAGCAACGGACCACAGCAGAGTCAGGATGAAGTAAATCGCCTGAGTGTAGGGCATCTGCCACAGCAACCAACGAACAATGCGAATGCGGATTCTGGAAGATTAATGAAATGATAATCTAACCGATTAAGAGATTTATTATGATTATTTAACTGATTTTTAAAAATATAATAATTTAACCGATTACGAGATTTATTATGATCATTTAACTTTCAAAATATGTATTATGATAATTTAACTGATTACGAGATTTATTATGATCATTTAACTTTCAAAATATGTATTATGATAATTTAACTGATTACGAGATTTGTTATGGTCACTTAACTGACTGAGAAATTTATTATGATCATTTAACTGATCAAGAGATTTATTATGATCATTTACCTGATGAAGATACTTGTTATGATTATTGAACTGATTAAGATATTTATGTGGAATAATATAATGGGTGATTTGAGAAAGGATGGTAAGTGACAGGGCGAGTCGTGAAAGTGCAACACGTAAAACTAATGAAGCCCATAAGGTCGAAAATTATCGTACTTGTCAACGGGAAACAGCAATCAGCGCAACTATCTAATTCATTAACGTAAAAAGTCACCATCACTCATACTTACTAAGAGTCACAGCAATCACCAATAATGACACAGTTTACCAATATCAAACAACACAAACACCAACAGTCACAACAACCACCACAGTCTTCCTTGTTAACGGGAAACAACACTCACCAACAACCATACTTACCACCGGCAAATAACACAACCACCAACAATCACACTTATCAACGGCAAACACAATCACCAACCACAGACTTACTTGTTAACGGGAGGCGAAGGGAGGCACCGCAAGCAGCAACAGCAGGGTCCAACTTGAAGGTTCAGCGACCTGCCCTCGAGGTAAGCAAGCATGGCTTTCTCACTTCCGAACATGCTTGTGGTCAGGTCAGTGAAGTGGCTGATTCCTATGGACATATACCTGCGTGTG